TATATATATATATACATATATATATATATATATATAAAAATATATATATATATATTTATATATATGTATGTATGTATGTATATAAATATGTTTATATGTATATATGTATATAAATATGTGTATATATATATAAAAACCAGATAACATTCCCGTAGACAAAAGACAATACACTGTTACGTTAAAAGTCATGTACAAAGTCGGACTACGCTAATTCACGTAAATTATAAAATTCCACTTAACAATACAGTTTAAAACATATTTTTAAATCTTTTTTCAAAGTTGTGAATGTAACATAACCAGACTCTATAACCTCATATTAACGTAAAACACTATTTTGCCCTTTTTACTGATGTAAAGTGGAGTAAAGTTATGTAAAAACCCCTTCTTTTTTCGTACTATTTCTCCCGCGTGAATTCCCTCCACAGACGGTTCAGTTGCCCACCAAGGGATCACACTCTCGCTTCAGTTTCTACTCTCTACTTCGGTAGCACTTTAGCCACGCCCTCTTTACTCAGCGCAGGGTCTAGTTTATTGACCGCAGTGATAGCAGGGCCCTCCCTCTGTCTCTGCAGAATAAATACTCGCAGCCTGTCTTTCCCAGGCATGGATGACGGTTGCGGACAAACATGGCACTACGACATTACACACTCGACTTCAGCCTCTCTACGGCAGGTAAGAGGCACAGGCGAAGCGCTGCTGCCCCTACTGCTGACAGTCCAGCCGGCCAACTCACTGCATTGCCCCTGCAAGCTAAGCTAACACGCTAACGGCAACACGCTAGTCTGACAGTGCCCTTCAAAACAGCGGCGCTGCATCGGTTTGAATGAAACTTGATGTGAAATGGCACCTTAATGTAATTGCTAATTGATTCGTGGATCACTGTGAAACGGTTGCTATTATTTCAAGTTGATTTGTTTTTGCCTTTTAATGGACTTTACAGTGACGTTCGTTGTTACACATTTACTCCTAGAATTCAGTACCGTTGCTCTAAATAACGGCCAGGGTGGCCAGGTCTGCGGCACAGACGTTCTATATATATATATATATATATATATATATATATACTGTGAGTGTCGAACATTTGTTTGTTTTTTTATGAACACATTTTTCACTTGCTCCTATATTAATCAATGTCTGCAGTGTATCAATATCTATTGTATCATTATCAAACACATGCGTATGTTTCAAATGTGTTGAGATAAGACTTCAAAACGTCGCGTCGTATTTAGCAGAATATATGAGCGGAGTCTAAAGTTGTAACAGCTCAACACAGCTCTCATAGTTTGAATTTTCCTCTCGTTTTTCTTTACTGAACATGTTGTGACATGTGATATGACCTGTTTCAGAATTTAACGTTTTTGGTAACGATTTGAGATCTGAGATTCGAGCATTTGTTTGTTTTTGTATAAACTTTTTAATTTTTTTTAAATTTTTCATTTGTTCCTACTTTTCTTCCTCCGCCGTGACCATACACAGTTTAGCCAAACCGTTGATACTAGACTGAGTCATTAAACATGTCACATTTGCTACAGTAAATAGAAATATTGTGTTAATAGTTTGGTGCTACTGAGAGCAGTAAGTCATACTGGCTGTCTGGTATAAAATATTTACATTTTCTAATGGATTTCCTCAGCGATACTTCGGGAATATTAATTGAAGTTTACGTTGAAAATGCTGACACATTGTAGTTTGTAATTCCACGGAAGGTTTTTGAATCTGGCAACCCTAATGCGACGGAACGCCATCCAATACTTTAAGTGCAGCGCGGTGACGTGTTCCGCCATGTTTGTAGTTTTTATCCTGTGCTTAAATACGGAAGGCTTTACACTTTTTCACTGTCGTGAAAAAGTGTTTTCAACAGGACAGCGATATATTTTATGCTAACGGATGCTATTTAAAATGTTATCCTTTGTTCCAACGAAAGTGTGATTAATTTACATTATATATAATGTCTGTATAACGGTTTATAGACCAGTTTTAGTCTACACATGTTTACAGCTAACCTTAAAGGTGGAGCAAAGAAAGTTATTTTTTAAGAACTTTTTTTTATTATTACACATGATTTGGTTTTTTTACTTAGAGTCAGAATCCATGTATTGACCCCCTGATCCCCCCACCCCCACCCCACTGCGTCAATTAAGTGATTGTTAGACATTCTATGTAAATGAAGTACTGAACAGAGTATCCAGTGTTTGTACTTTTTATTGCACTCTCTCCAACACCAACATCACTTCCCTTTACAAATATTTAGTCTAGATTCTTGTGTGGTTTGAATGTTGTGTGTGGGGATAGGAAGGCTGTCGGACCAGTTCAGTCTGGACTGACAGGTTTAAGGGTTATGGTTAAAGGCTTGAATTTGACCTTCAGGTAAAATTAAATTTGCTGAAAAACCACATATGATGTTAAGAACGATCTCCTGGATATAGGATATTTGTCTGGTTTTTAAATCCTCGTCACAGTTGACACATTTGATTGTCAACAATCCTTTACTTCAAAGAATATTGTACTATGTGGTGAGAATGTATACCCACAATCTGATTAGTCACAGCTTTAATTAGGATTAATCCAAAACAACCAAATCAACGTTCTCAAACAGCTGCATATCAGCCGGTAGATGTCGCTGTTTCTCCTCGTTTTTATTTTCGATCAATCCAGATGATGTAATTATTATTATTATTATTAAGTGTTGTTGATGTGGTCTGTGTTTTGACTGTGTCCTCAGTTGATGCTGCTTCAACGGTTCCTGGACTGTTGTCCATCTTCCATGAGCAGGAACTAACAGAGACTGTCCACGACACAGATGGACATGGATACCTGGCCACGTTCGTAGGCAAGAATGGACGGTGAGAGCAACACCTGCTGTTTGTTGTCATACGCTTGTCTAAGCTGCCGTAGATCAGGGGGTCTACTGGTGGTTTAAAGGTTAGGGGTTTGATCCCAGTGACAAGTTTTAAGATCTCCACATCCATGTGCTGGTACTGATTAAGTGTCAACTCCTCCGTGGTCCAGTCGGCTCTTCTTCTTCTTCTTCAGTGGTGGTTCCATCTCTGTGGAATTCAGCCGGATGTTTGTGTCTGAGGACTTTTTGACTCCCAGCTGACTGTCTGTGTCTGTGCTGGTTTGTCTCTCAGACTCGTGGTCCTCCGTGTCCACTCCCGGGGCCTGATCACCATCGACCTGCAGTGTTATGATGAGGACAACATCGCACAACTTGACAATGTAAGACCTTGAACCTGAACATACCACATGCAGTACTGATTATTGACCAAGAAAATATCCATACATTAAATTATTACAGTATTTACTTTTTTTGTGACAGTTTTACTACAATGAAATTCTTTAAAATAAAACTCAATATATCATCGTGCCTGTAGAATCGCAATACAGTGGTCCTTTCAAGACCACTGGTGATGGGTGAAAAACTGCAACTTGAAAATGAAAATATTGGAAATTTAATATTTTTTATAGACCACAAAAACCCACGAAGGAGCTAAAAATCCACAGTACAAGGATACAATTAAAATATGAAAAACCTGCGAAGCATTGAGGGCTCGACAGCTGCACCGCGATACAGTGAGGGGCGACTGTGTATTGCAATATATCGCATTGTTGCCCCGTATCGTGATACGTTTCGAATCGCCAGATTCTGGCCAATTCACAGCCCTAGAACGTGTCGTCTACAGCCACAGCTGCTGTTGTTGTTTGTTGTTGTTTGTTGACATGTTTCCTGTTTTTTTTTTTCCCCCACAGCTTTTAAATGCACTGGAAGAGAAGCTGCGAGCTCTGCTGAAAGACAACATCACACGAGTTAAAAGGTAGAAACAATCACTCGGTGACATGCACGACCGTTTGACCAGACACAGTCACGTTGATCCACCGTCTTTGTCGCTAACCTGCCCCCAGACTCCCGGTTCTGACACGCGGGGCCAACGTCGACCGGTACTGGCCGACGACAGACGGCCGTTTAGTGGAGTACGACTTTGACCAGGTTTTGTATGAGGAGGATTCTGCCTACCAGAATATCAAAATATTTCACTCCCCGCAGTTTGGGAACATCCTGGTACTCAATGGAGATATTAGTAAGTACCCATAACTCTCCAGCAGGGGGTGAGTTTTTTTTTTTTTTTTGGACACCAGTGTGTAAGCAGAGCTCTCCTTCACCCTGCAGACCTGGCAGAGAGTGATCTGCCCTACACCCAGGCCATCATGGGCAGCGGGAAAGAGAATTATACCGGAAAGGAGGTGCTGATACTAGGAGGAGGTGACGGAGGCATCCTGGCTGAGCTGGTCAAACAGAAGCCCAAGATGGTCGTCATGGTGGAGATATCCTTCACTCTTACCTCTCAACAATCCTGAGTGAATGTTCTAGAAACTCGCCTTTTTCAGGAGGGTCTCTGTAACTGTAGTGAACCTCCTTAACTGAACCTCCACATTGACCAGAAGGTGATGGACGGCTGCAGGATGTACATGAGGAAGACCTGTGGAGACACTCTGGACACTCTGGAGGGAGACTGCTACCAGGTCAGTACTGATTGGCTGTTTGGGTGATATAATGAAATACAAACCACATTTTTATTTGATGGTTATTTTGAATCCGGTCGGGGGCTGGAATGGACAGTCCAGTGGGCCGGGTTCGGCCCGCGGGCCAGCAGTTGATCATCACATACCTTCGTGTTCGGTACTGGACTGGGTTTCCTGACAACATTGTTGCTGCTGTCTCCGTGTGTCTCACAGATACTGGTGGAGGACTGTGTCCCTGTGTTGAGGAAGTACGTCCAGGAGGGTCGGATGTTCGATTACGTCATCAATGACCTCACTGCGGTCCCAATATCCACGGAGCCAGAAGAAGGTGTGTGTGTGTGTCTGTGCGTGTGTGTGTGTTTTCCTAACTGGTTTAAACTGGATGTTGTTGCGCCCCCCTCCCCCATTCTCCCACCCCTCCAGAGTCAACATGGGAGTTCCTGCGCCTCATCTTAGACCTGTCAATCAAAGTCCTTCGTCCAACTGGGAAATACTTCACGCAGGTAAATAAGAACGTCAGCTGAAAAGATGAAGTCGGCCTTCAACACAAGGCTTACACATTCGTGTGTGTGTGTGTGTGTGTGTGTGTTTCAGGGTAACGGTGTTTGTGTGAAGGAAGCACTGAGTCTGTACGAGGAGCAGCTGGGAAAACTCTGCTGTCCCGTGGACTTCTCCAAAGAGGAGGTGTGTGTCCCCTCCTACCTAGAACTGTATCCTTTCACCACAGTCCGTTTCCTGTCCGTGTGTCAGACCAGTCCACTGGTCAACACGGTTGAGCTGACTCTAGTTAAGTAAATTAAAGTAAATATTAACTTGGTAAATGTTAACCCGTTGTTGTGATGATGGTGGTGGAGGTGTACGGCCCTTAACTCCTCCACGCAGGTGGGTCTTTTACACCATATGGAAGAAATGAAGACACGAAGAAGTCGACTGTAGTCCGCTGGAGTCAACTGTAGTCCACAGTGTAGTCCGCTGTAGTCCACTTGTAGTCGACTGTAGTCCGCTGTAGTCCACTGTAGTCCACTATAGTCGACTGTAGACGACTGTAGTCCACTATAGTTGACTGTAGACGGCTGTAGTCTACTGTAGACGACTGTAGTCGACTGTCTTTGCTGACCTGCAGTTGGAATGTGAACGTTGGACTCCTGCTCCTGCTGTAGCCTTAAGGTCATGTGCTCAGACTGAATGTGACCTTTTTCCTCAGTGACTCCTTTTATTCCCTGATCCTATGATCCATGAGTGGACCAACAGTTCCCAAATGTTCCCACTCCAGACAATATTCCTAATGTTAACCCCAGAGGTGAAAACCCATCTAAAACGCTCAGATGACCATTCCCAGTTCCACCGGCTCACCTGCAGGGGCCGCCTCTGAGCAGTCAGGTCACATTTACATTCAGTCTGAACACATCTTTAGGCACTCAACTCTTCATTCTTCATCCCACACCATTCTGCTCCCTCCTCTCCTTCCTTCCTTCCTCCCCTGCCCTCCCTCTGCCTCCTTCCTTCCCTCCTTGTGTTCCGCCTGTCTTTTTTTGCACTTCCTTCTGATTGTGTTCTGTTTGTGTTGCTCACTTGTGAATGCCCATTTGCATGAAAGCTGAGACAAAAGCAGTTTGAATGTTCGGCACTGATGGTAAACACTGAGGACGTGTATCTGCTGTCTGACCAGTGTGTGTTCTCTCTTCCTGTTCGCTGTTTTTTTTTTAACTGTTGTTGTCTGAAGAAAACAAAAACTTTTTTAGCTTTTTTTTAGTTTTGTTACTGCCGCTGGAATGTGTTGAGATTCCTTTTCTTTTAGATTGTTACCATGGTGATGAGATAGCGCCCCCTGATGCTATTGATGATGATGTCCAAAAGTGTGTGTTGTTGGGGTGTTGTACCTCTTTCGTGTCACTTCTGTGCTTGTTTTTATGGTTGTGTTTTATGAGTACCTTGTTTTTCTCCTAAAGTCTATTTAAAGTTTGTTTCTTCTTTTTGACTACGGCTGTAATAGGTGCATGTGAACGGACGGTGAATGTAGCTGCATTATGACAAATTCACATCAGGTTTATGCTCGATCGACTCTCTGGGGCTTGGTTACATTTATTTATATCCAATAATTTGAAACCAAAAACTGTTGTGTTCCACCTGAGATATTTTTGTGACCATCGATGAATTAAATATTTGGAGTGGAGACGTGTCTCACCTGTCGCTCTCCTTAAGACATTTCTAATTTCTCAGGACCTCAGAGATACGCCGGTTGCTGGGCAACATCTGCGTTGCTTAAATTGAGGTCTGTCACTAACAGGTTAACAATTCACTTCAAACTGACCACAGGTGTGAATGTTAGTGTGAATGGTTGTCTGTTTATTGAAGATATTCGCAGACCAGAATTTGGAACCACCTCAACAACTTTGCCCCAGCATCAGTAATGGCTGCAGCCTCGCTGTAACTGCCCCGGAGGAGAAACACAGTGTGGCAGGTTTCAGAACCACTGATTTAACAGGATGATGTCATGAATCCAGAAGAGTCTGAATCAGTGGAATGAACTGCAGCAGGTTGATTTTCATGGGAATTTTATTTTTCATCTGAAAGTTCTTCCTTATAAAAATATTCCTACGTCACTCTGTTATAGTAACATAGCGTTTTCCCAACTAACCACTGAAGTACAAGTAGAAGATAAAGTATAAAAGCATAATTTAATTTGCCCATTTACTACAAATATCACACTGTAAACAAAGGTTTCACAGGACGTCCAGTGAACGGTCAACATCTGATTTGTTCCTCCTGAGGATCAGGAACTGTTCTCGTGTCTGTGCTGCATGTTGATCTCATTCAGTACCACATCGGAACTGGGTTCTTCATCAGCTGTGATAGTTCTGTCATCAAGCGTGCTTCCTGGAACAAAAGAGAGCTTCAGCTCTTTAAAATACATTCAGTGTCTTCAGAGTGTTTCATAAAAACCCGATGTTGTCTGGACTCACCGATGCCACTGGTCTGCTCCGATATGTCGTTCGCCAGGAAGGAGGAGGAGCTGGAGGAGTTGTTGGACTGGAAGGACCTGGATGAAGGCAGAGACGTCAGTCTGCTCACCGACGACTTCTTTGTGGTTTTCTGCGTTGCTGTGCGACTCCACTCTGTGAACAGAAACATTGAGCTCGTTTAGACCAGTGGTTCTCAAGCTATGGTGCCTGTACGTTGGTACCACGGGGGGCTTCCTCTAGTGGTACTGGGGCAGTTGCACTGTGTGCACGTTTGTGTTTGTTTGCCTGCAGAGCCGGAAGGCGGCCTCGGAAAAAATCGAATTAAATCAGAGTCGACAGAGGGCGCCAAACTACAATCTTGCCTCAGCTTACTAGAGATGACCTGTGTCAAGTATGGATGTAGTGAACCACCGTTAGTGGTAAAATTGGTGTAAGAAAGAGAAAATATCTGACCCGAGTTCTCCGCTAGTCTCATCCTGCCACAGCACAGGTAGATCCTCCACTGTCGTCTCACGTTTTCCTTCACAGCACAGTGGAAAACAAATATGAACAAACCTATAAAAAACACAAAAAACAAACATAAACAAAACATAACAGCAAACTGGATTTTTACAGTGGAACAAAAGACAAATTATTGAACATAACATTCTAAACTTTATTCATATTGCTGTTTTTGGTTTGTCTTTAGATTTATTGTTATAAAGGATTTTTTTTTGCTAACAACCAAAATAAAAGAAGTAGCTATCGATAAGATTCCAATCTATTTAAACTACAGCAAAACGTAAACGTATAATTACTTTTAAATAAAGATTTTATAAAACCGTGTAAAATATATTATATATATATAATAATAATACGTTTTTAAATATGTTATCAACCGTTGAAATAATTTGGCGCAGTGACGTTAGGTGAAACGAGGCACATTATTTCAGTTTGCTGCTTAAATGGTAGACGAGCATCCGCGACAAAATGTCAGTTGTCCTAGTTACCGTTCTGACGTTTCCAATATGGTGGTTCCCTTTTGTTGACCAGGTGAGGCTGAGATTGCTCGACAACGATTCTTTTATTTTAGTTGAATTCTGTAATCAACAGTCACCTACAGTCACGGGCTACTGTCTTAAAATTACATCCCGTGTTTGTGGAAAGTCTGGGAAACCGAAATACGCTTCTTGAGAACGAGTATGACCGATGTCTCGCTGCGTATTCGTGTTCGGGACCGCAACCGGACAAAATGGCGCCGCAGACAGCGTTAAGTCATCGCGTTTACAGTAAATTCTGTCACACAATATTTTCAACGAGGGTCATTGTTGTTTATATTTTGGGGGGAAATGGTACTAGCCCTTAGCATTAGCAAAGTTGAAAGTAAACTTGTTTTTTTACTCTTGTTGTTTTGACAGTTCTTCAGAAAAACTATCGTGTTGTATTTCATTTATTATTATTAATATTACATTTGTTATTAATAATAATAATCAATTGTTTCGTTTTCTGCATGGGAAGTTTAGGGTAACAACTAAAGGGGATTGCTTTGTTGATTTTTTTCTTTCAGGAACCACTCTTATTTAAAACAAAGAACCTCCTAAAGTCAAACTCACCCTGCAGGGAATTAAAGATGGCGAAAAGGTACATGAACGCCAGGTTCACGGGGCCCCAGGCAAAAAAGGCGAAGCCCCAAGTGAGGCCCAGCAGGATGGTTATTCCTACCATGCTCCTCACTTCTTGGATTGTGGTGCGGTGCTGAGTGTTGTGAGGATTCTGCCTCTTCACACGACACAGCTGGACCAACACCACAACGAACATGACACAGTTGAAGAGAAAGATGACGCAGAAATAGGCAACAACGGCGACATAGAAGGCAATGTCATTTTTCAGCCAGCAGCTGTGGGAGAGACATGGATTAGATTCATGTTTGTGTGTCCGTACATGAAGGTATTTAAAATGGAAGCTAACACTTACAAGTCATCACTGGTGCCATCAGGAAACCTCCCGTAGGAGATCAGACCGTAGTTATCTTTGTCAACGGCGATGACCACAATAACCACAATCATGGGGATGCCCCAGCCGGCGAAGGACAACCTCAACATGTAGTGTGACATGTGGCTGTTGAAGACCTTGACCAGGGCCACGTACATGTGCACAGCCTCGAGTCCCATCCAGGAGAAGGCCACCAGGAGGAAATAGTGAAGGAACCAGGCCGTGGAGATGCAGAGTCCCACAGCGTTGGGGTAGAGAGCCAAC